TTTTAGTTTGGACCTTTGACAGTAAAAAAAATTAATTAATGTTATTATTCTTCAAATAATTATTTTTTATATTGACAAATTTAAAGAAGCCGATTTTTAAAGCAAAAATTTTAATTATTTTGACTTTTCTTGTCGAAAAATCTAAGACTTGTTCTGATTGGTTGATTTTAAAAGACGCAATTGATTGGCTAAGGATTGAGGAATGACACTTTAACGCATTAAATTTTTTTTTTACTTTTAATTGTACTTGTAATCGGACCAATAAAATCAAATTCAAGATTTTGCAAAAACTTCACCGATTATCCATAAAAAACTGTTTTAATTCATTTCGAATTTGCTTTGAAAAAGATTTAAATTAATTTAAATTATTTTTTCCAATTTAGCCACGAAAATTTAATGTTAGATAAGGGACTATCTCGTCAATTTTTTTCTAAGTGGATTCCAAAAAATTAAAGCTTTCATATGACTTAAAAAAATGTTTGATTTTCTTAAAGAGTATGAGCCACATTGTCGCGAAATGTCAACAACTGTCAGAAGTGTCAGATTGAATGATTAAAAGCCAACGCACTCTAGTGATATTTTTCTTTAAAACGTTAATTTAGGCACTTTTAGACCTTTTTTCTCTATGAAACTCTACTACTTTGTAGAATTTGGATTGAATTTTTGTTTCTTACCTTCACTCAATCTCCACCTTTTGCCGTTTTCTACTTTTAGTGCTTCCAAATTTTACAACAATTTCCAGGAAAAAACAATTGCTATCGCGTGACAAAGATGGTTAAATTGACGTCTTACACGGGTGTGAGAGCGTTCAAGCTATCACGTTTTAGTAAGATATATACCAGGTGAATAAAAAGTATGGAACCAAGAGTTTTCTTCGTAAACTAAGCACTTTACGAAAAAAATAATTAGTGTAGCGTACAGTACAATTAAAATGTGATCAAGAATAACATTTTTCGAAATTTCTTTTAGTTTTCGAGTTCTGGGGAAAAAAATTTTTTAACGAGCTCGGAACGCAACTTTAACAATTAATTTAAAAAAAGAACGGGCTATAAAACAATTTTATTTAATTAGAGGTCTTTATTAGATCATAATCTTTAATTAAAAAAATTACCATGGTGGGTTGCCTGCTCAAAAAAAAAAAAATTCCAGAACTCGAAAACTAAAAGAAATTTCAAAAAATGTTATTCTTGATAAATGGTCACATTTTAATTATACTCTAAGTTACACTAATTATTTTTTTCGTAAAGTGCTTAGTTTACGAAAAAAACGCTTGGTTCCATACTTTTTATTCACCTGGTATATTACGGACATAATAAAAAATCTAAAAATACAACATTAAAGATATCTCCGATATGCTGAATAGCATCGAGTTGTCTTTTTTTTCGTCAGAAATGCGACTTGCGACCTAATTTTTGAACGTTACAAATGCTTAAATATCCAGACTCGATCCTGTTTAGTCCAGAATCTGGTTGCCAAGCGTCATAAGTTCTTGTTACAAGATAATGTTGCAAAAATATTTCATAAGCCTCATGAAGTTTCGCCGTGTGGGTGGCTGAAAGCTTTCATGAAAGGAAGTGTTCCGAGTTACATTTGAATTTTACATTTTTTATTTCAGTCATTACAAACTTTAATAAGAAGAGATAAAATCCTGTAATTATTTTCATTGATCAAAAACTTGTCGGACTATTATCTCGCAGATTGTAAATTTATTCTTTTTTTAATCGATTTTTAATAATTTTATTGAGTACATAAGTTTCGCACTGTGCGAATTTATTGTTACAACCTGAATTTTGATGTTTTCCAATTTATTATAAATAAAATGAATAATTTAGGTGAGAGCCAAAGAAAAACAAACATAACCAAAGTGAACATGTGTTGGAAATTTTCTCAATCATAAATACCGACATAAACACGGCCATTTATTATAATTATACAAAGTTTCAACCCAGTTTTCAGTTGGCACTTATTTGTTGACAATTTTTTCAATTCAGTTTTGTTATGTGTTGATTGTTATAAATGACATTGCGAAGGCCATTGGTGTTTTCGCATTGATCGACTCATGAATGGACAAAACATAGTAAATATGATGCACATGCATAGTAAAACTGACCTTGAAGATCTGTTACATTTCAGTCCCATCAATGTCAAGAACCGTTCTCGACAGTTTGCGCTAAATTAAGTAGTGCTTAATTAGGTTCATTATGTATTTTAGAATCACTGGTTTTGTGCATTTTTTTTACAAAATTGTGTAGTTTTTGCAAAACAAATTTAATAGGATAGTGTAACAATAATTTATATCATGTCTCTGGGGGATATGAATTTTGCGATCCGTGTTACGTAACTGATTAACAGATTAACCACGAAAATTTAACATTCACGACTACTTTCAACTTGTAGATAAACAACTTTTCAAAAGTATCGAGCGACGGTTTAAATTAATACCTGCCAACTGTAATGTTAGGTTCCAGTTTTAATATTTGTGAGTCTGAAATGATTTTATTGCGTAAAAAAGCATCTCGCGAAAAATAAAAAACACATTTTATTGCATAATTAGCTATGACTTAAACTTGCTGTTAATTAACTTACTAGTTATATATATGCAGGATTTTTTTCTGCTAATTATTAACGTGACAGACAGAAGCTTACTGAATTTTACACACTCATGTATGTACTTTCACATTTCGACAGTACTACACTCTTGTTTTTCGTACCCAAACCATGCTGTGTGGCCTGAGAGAATTTATTACAGTGACTATTTACGTTAAATTACCATGAATTATTCAGAAAATAAAGTCTCACGAGGGATTATAATCAGGATCATGATTCTGGTTCCGCTATCATAAATTTGGACCATCATTAGTGGCTTTCTTTTTTGTTTTCACGTACAATAGTCGAGGTGTTTTGGTTTTATCATTTTTTATTGTCTGTAATGATCGACTCTTTGATATAATTTTTGTGTTCTGCTGAATGAAGCAAAAATTTATGTTTATGTACACATCCGTTTAGCAGTTGCTTCCTTTTCAGGTTTCTCATGTGGATATTTTGCAATTTCCATCGGTTCTGCTATGAAATTATTGCCTTGGGAGAACATTACGAGATTAAATAGACAATAAAAATTGCTATTATCTAAGATATTTATCAATTTGAGGTGAATGATCACAAGTTGTGGATCAGAGAAATTAAGACATAAATGGCGTCCAAAAGTATTTTTCATAAATTATTATGGAATTTTAAAAGTAGTCCCATTAAAACCAAAAATGAGACATAATTAGGCACACACGGTTTTTTATTTTGATTTATTTGCTTACTAACATGTTACCACATAAGTTTTACATACATATTTAAATGTGTTTTTTTTATTAATATAAAAATCAGCAACACTTTGATTAAATACATTGCTACTTGTAGTTTAAAGCTGAGACATTAATTTTGACAATATTTTTACTTGCATAATCTCATTTTGCAGTCACACCCAAAGTATAAACAGGTGCCTGGAATATATCTATAATTAAATATGTAGATACATTTATCTGTGGGTGTAAACCTCTACTTTTTATTTCTTAATTTATTTAAAATGGTAGAATTTTTTGAAATCATGTTTTTCTTTTGGTCACAATCTTATTCGAAAAAAATAGAGAAATCATTTCATTTCTTCTGATGCTAAATTTTAATTTAGATTACTCATATGATCTGCTTAGAAGAAAGTTAAATCAATTCCAATTTCACTTCTTTTGTTATCGGAATATTTGCTATAAATTATTAATATCTTTTTTATAAACCATACAAAATACTTTCACAATTATTAATTTGATATTTCGTTCATGCAATAATCTCTGTCGACGTCATTGTTAAAATAAAGACTTGAAAAAATATAATTATTGTTATCGGACATTAAACTTATGTTCAGAGTTGTATAATGAATAGATGAAAAAATAAATTGTAGCTTCGTAACCTATTAGAAATGACTTAATCAAGCATAGAATTCATGCGTAACATCCTGATTTTGCAGTGGTTTTTCACATTTTTTCAAGTGAAAATTAATTAGAATTTGATTAAACATTAAAAGTGCATTAGATTTTTTACTTTAAAATACACTGACCGGCATAATTATTGCATCACTTCAAATTTAAGATTTAAAATGACTAAATGGTTCTGAAAATAGTACTAAAATTGATGTAAGAAAAGCTTACTTAACCTAATCCGCACGGAATTCGCTTTCTTGTTTCTTTTGACAATCATTAAATTGTAGTTTAATTGTTGAAGTTTAAGTCGAAATTTTAGTTTAACTTAATTAGTTAATTAATTAATTTTTGATGCATTTATTTTTTGAAGCGTTATTTCATTAAATATTCACTTTTCCCATGTGATGCGATAATTTTGTCGGTGAGTCTAGTTTCAAATGAAAAACAGTAATATACATATTACAAATTAAAATACCGGATAAATACGGCAAATTGTGCACCTATTATCTCCGGTATCTTATTCACAAAGAAGCCTTGAAAATTTTTTGTATATTTTTTGTAACTTCCATATGTGTAAATATCTTAAACTATTTATGACAAAAGGTTTGTATTTTTGTAACAAATTGATGAGAATCCTGATTTTAGTAATCTGAGGAAGCTGTTGTTCAACATTAAAATCCCTCTTTTATGCCTAAACTAAGAAATACAGAACTTCACAAATTTTCTATTGTTATAATTTTTTTTCGTTATAATTACACATAATATATAGTTCTCTCAAAACTTATATGTAGGTATAACAAAATAGTGTTCATTTATCAAAATTTTTACATTTCAAACCAAATTTGATTTCTAATAGATACTCGAAAAATTACGTATAGTCTATATAATGGTAGAATAATAACAGAAAACTAACTAGGCTGCCGAAATCCTCCGCCCAGAAAGTAGTACCTTTGAAATTTCGCGGGAAAGTACATTTTAGTCTTGAAAAAAGGAAGTATTAATGGGAAATGACAAATAAAATAAAGACAGTTATCCATTTCTTTATTAACCATTTCATTTTCTTACTAAACAAAGTATAATTGTATAATAAAACAAAGGAGAACAACAAAAGGCATCAAAATAAAATAACGCAAATCCTTACAAAAATTGCAATACTCAAAAGTTGAATGTCACTCGAATCTGAATTTTATGCTGACATTCATTATAATTTTTTCACCGGTTGTGAGGCGCTGAGACCTAAAAAGTTAATTTGAATGTTAGTCGATGCATCCTAAACTCCAAAAATTGTAATGAATATTTTTACAATATTTGCACATATCTTACTGTGTAGTTGTGGAATGTGTGTTCATAAAACTTTTTTAGTTGTAAATTGGTTACTAACTCAATACTTGTACTTGAAATATAGGCTTAATTTTTTTTATTTAAATTGCCTGTGTAATTAATTTTGTATAAAATATTAATTTTTCAATCCAATTAATACTGCTGTATTCTCCATAGTACAGTTTTCCGTATTTTAAAACTTTTACAATAAAGAAGTGTCAAAATTCAGTTAAAACACTGTCCGCGTAGGAATATCTCAACGTATCGCGGTACCAACCCAACATTACTGCAATTTACAAATTTTAGCATTGCGATTCTGGTACTTTTCTTGTTATAGAGTTTTTCACCAAGATGTCAAAAAAGTAAAATCCAGACTGATCAAGTTTTTGGAACTTGAAAAAACGTGATTAGAGACAAAACGGTAGAAACAAACGGGTTTCAAATTTAAATCATGCATGAAAAAGTTAATAATGCTTTTATGTTCTTTGTGAATAGAAAAGGCCACTTTTGTGTGATTTTCTAAAAAAAATTCTATCGAATATTAAAAGGAATTTCAAATTAATGTACTTACGCCTACAGGAGGGAAAAAGTGAAAAAAAATTTACAGTATTATTAGAAAATCGAAGACCTAGTTAACCTATTTTTACATTTGTTTCGTTTATTTGATCAGTACCTGCTTCCTGGATACTCACCTGAAATGTAAACAAAGTGAAAATTTGTTAGTAATTCTCGATAATTTTAGTGGCTACTAAACAATTTTGTCATTAAATAATTGTTTTGATTTGACCCTAATACAAGCGCAAACATCATGTTTATCTCTGTACGGAAAATGAATTTAAATGTACATAAATCACACGTTTCAAAATTGATAAATCCTTATTAAAGATATTATCAATATACACAGATTACACACACACATATTCAATCTAACTGAAGTGATTGTATGTGCGCTTGTAATGGCAAAGCAATGAAATTAAATAACAACTTACATACTAAACATACGCAATACCCACGAGTCTGAATTAATTGCTCCGTTCAACTCAATTTAATTATAAACAAATCGGGGAATTAGAACACACGGTGTAGATTAAAAATTCCTGTCAATCGAATTAAATCCATATATGAAAATGACTTTAGTGCACCAACAACCAAGTATAGCGATAATAAAGTGATTTTTTGTTTGATGTAATAGTAAAGGTCACTGGACTGTACATTTAGGGACCAACGTATTCGTTTTAGTATTTTTTTGTTGGCAATCGTTCCAATAATCGGATGCGTACTTCAAAAATTCGCCAAGTTCACTGACCCACCATTTCAGCAGATGATTCACATCCCAAAACCAATGAATATCTTTAAATAAATATTGCCATTATGTCGCAACAGGTACTAAAAAATCCGATTAAATTTCCCGTTAGCCGGAAGTGGTTTATACACTTATGTATAAACCGGGGGTGTGTTCTGTATGTACATCGGACATAAGGCGTTTCCCACGAAACCCTCTCGATCTCGCTGGGTATAATTATCGTGAAGAAATTCTGATGCAGCTGTTGATGCACATGGTCCATCTAACTGTAAAATCTCTTTGTTGCAAAGAGGAAAAAATCACCCGCTACCTGTCGACAGCATCCCTGCTGTTTGCGTTCGCCCTCGGTAGCGGCCCACCACTACAAAGTTATTGTAGCAAGCCGACGAATGCACTTTAGTCGACGGGGGGTTGTAAATATTTACCACTCTATCCCATTATGTAGACAGGACTTTTGACTAGGATTGAATGTTTTCGGGACGTGTTTATTGGCTAGACTAGTGCGATGGTCAACAGACGAGTGTTCACACCGAGTTTTATACTCCAATTACTCAGAAAATGCAAAATTTAAATCATTGACATGCAGTATAGTCTTTGGGATTATTGGTTTTACCAAAACGCCTGACTACAACTTTGACTTCCTTTGGTACCCAAATCAAAATCTTTCTTTAGAGAAAGGGTGGCACCTTTTTTTGTCAGTATGTTAAATTAAATGGTTTCATTAAAATAATTCGAACAATTTAACAAAAAAAAAAAAAAACTAAAGAAATAATTATCAAATTATTATTAATGTATGAAAAAAATAAGTGCAAAATAGGCCTAAATAGGAATCAATTATTATACAGTATGTCTCCGGATTGAGTTTACAAGAGGAAAAGAATTTTTGCCTTTGATTTTACGCCAAAACTGCAAAGGAAAAACATTTTTGCTTGCAAATCTGTAATTAAAACTTTATTATTCTAACTCAGTAGAAAGGAAAGTTCATTTTTCTCTTGATTTTGAACTTATTTGGAATAATTTTTCTTTGCTTTTTAAGTCCTATCACATTGGCGGTTTTWTTWTTTTKACAATGATGTCACTTTGACAAATGAGTTTACGCAAGTTAAATAACAAAAATGTTTGTGAGAAACACAATTTTAATAAATAGCATAAACAGCTTTAAACAGCTTTAAGATAAAAACTAAAGTCATTTTTAATAAGAACTCTCAATATTTAATTAATAAATTAATTGTCAAAGTGACATATAGTTGTCAAATAAATAAAACAGCCAATGTGATAGGACTTAAAAAGCTGAGTTTTTCTTTCTACTGAGTTAGAATAATGAAATTTTAATTACAGATTTGCTGGTTTCAAGTAAAGCAAAAACTTGTTTTCCGTTGCAGTTTTGGCGTAAAATGGAAGATATTTTTTTCCTCTTGTAAACTCAATCCAGGGACATACTGAAAACATATTTAATTCGTAAAAAGTTTCAGCCTAAACTAAAAAACCGATGTGGAAAAAAGGTGGATTTTATATGGGGGTTTACCCATCTGAATAGTTTAAAAGTCAAAGTTACAAAATTAATTTGTAAATTAATTAATTTTAAATTTTCCTACATGGTTTATTTTTTAATTTTTCAATTCAAGTCGAAAATCAAGAGAAAAATTAACTTTTCTTTTCACTGAATCAGAATAATTTAGTTTTAAGTACAAATTTGCTCGTTTCAGGTGAAGCAAAAAATGTTTTTCCTTTGTAGTTATGGTGTAAAATCAAAGATAAAAATAATTTTCTCCTGTAAACTCGATCCGAGGACATTCTGTAGATAGGTAGAAATAAGAATAGCAATTTGGAATACAAAATTTTATTGCTCTGAGAACGATAAAATGCAAAAAATACAAACTTTAATTTATGATTTTATCAAAATTGGGATTTAATTTGATAATGGGTATTTGTATATTTGTTCCTTCGTCCCTTATTCATAATCTAATTTTGATAGAAACCATCCACTTTATTTATTTTTTATAACAGGGAAGTGGCAATGAAAACACTAGTAGGTACATATGTATATTCAAAAATTCCACTTTCCAAATTTCAAGTGCGATTTTTTCTTTTAATAAAAGTACGATTTCAAATTGCTAAATGCACCCCAAAAACGTAAACGTCTTAAGAAGAAAAAAAGTGAAAATGTGCTAGATAGTGTATTTTATTTAAAACAAATTTGAAACCAACTGTTTTAAATATAGCAATCGGCATTTTTTGCATTATCAAGATGGGAAAATTCAGGATAGCCACAACAAATTCTAGTGAAATTTTGTTCTTGCAACCTAATGCAACAGGCGTTGGGACTAAAAAACAGACGTCATATACGTAATTAATTTTTGTTTAATTGTTGATAGATTTTCAATAAAGTTGAAAATTTGGAATTTTTTTTCGTGAACAACATGGATTAAGTCACAAGCGTTTTTGATCAAAACATTCCATTTTATTTGAATTGTTATCAAATACGGTAACGTTTTTTTTTTCAAAAATTGCAATATTTGGTTTAATTTCGTCATCTTGTTAAATGGCTTTTCAAAATACTTTCATACTATTATAAACATATGTATATGCATGTTTATTGAATGAACTTTTACTTAAATTGTGTCCTGAATTCGTAAGGCACAGAATTCTAGATTTATAAAAGTCGTGCATTTTGTAAATAGGACTATGACAAACTGTTAACATGCACATGTTAATAAGGTGTTTTTTTAATGTAATTTTGTGAAGAAGATTATAGAAAAAAAAATATGGGACACCTTATTTAGTCTCGTCCGATTGAATCACTGAAAAATAATTTGGAAAGTATATCGGGTAATTGAGGCCTATTCTGTAACTGATGTGTTAATTTATAACACCCTGTTAAATCCTAAATTGGTATTCTGTAAATCAAAATTATGTTAAAATTTAACCATCATAAAGTTAAAATTTTGAAGGGTGCTAATAGCATACCTTTAAAAAAATAACAGGGGTGTTAAATGATTGTCAAACTGAAATGGCAGTAGTTGCAGGGTTTTTATTTTTACAAAATGAAGAAGAAGAAGAGAAGACAACATGCCGTCTTCAAAATAGTTGTATATTTATAGCAATAATAAGTTACTGAAATTGTAACGGCGCATTTAACAAACTTTTGCATAAAATTTCCTCAAACAGGTTAAGAAATAAATAATAAAAAACGATTATTTCTTCAAAAATATGACGACACACATGTAGCAATTTGAACAGGGGAATTATGCGCAAGACAAGACTGACAAGACGTCAACTTTACTTGTCAATTGCCGTCTAAATATTTAATTTAAATTGTCGCGTCTAATAGCTTTGCAAAAGATGAATTTCAACACAAAAGTAAAAAACAATTAATAATGTAGTTTTGATGTTAAAAAGTATTTATAAAGAGTTCGCCAGAACTCGCGCCTCAGAGAAAAACGCCATATAAGGTAAGATACAAGGAACATGGAAAAAATGAGAAAAAAATTTTATCTAGAAAAATTTCGATGTTATGAGGGTTTAAAGTTTGCATTTTGACTATTTATTTCTGTTGGAAAAATAATTTTTCAAGTTTTTTTGCTATTAAAAGAGGAAACAAGGAAGCTGTATC